CAGGCCCACTGTACCTATGAACGTCAACTATCAACCGTAAATAATAATGGGCCAATAAAAGCGAAGAAATTATACAGTCCTTGATTTTTATTGCCATTATATGGCTAGTTTCAGGTGCTAAAAAGTTCATAGACATAGACGATTCTTCTAAAAAATACGCCAATTTGCTTCCATTTATAAGATAAACTGATCCCAACCCAAAGCCCTTCTCTAACCCCAACCAGTTAACATCTGGTAGACAATGTGAGAATTAAAAAAGTGAAGGGAAAGTTGGATCTTGTTCCAAAAACAAATTGAACCGTATTACGTTTCACTGACTTGGCAGCACGCAACGCCACCTCGCTGAATAAAATTTTAAAAAATATTATAGTAATATATGATGAAATGGAAAGTATTGAATTTGGCGCCAATTAATGTAATTAGGTGCCAATGTATAATTATGCAAATGAACACAAGTGCACAACGCTTGTTTATGAGTCTACAACGTATATTTATACTGTTATTTAAAAAGTCAAACTGTCAAACCAAGGGAGCACAGCAGTATTGTTTTCGAGATTTCGTACTTGTATATGGCTGTAAAATCTCTGAATAGGTAGTCTTTGTCTTCTTTGGTTCGCTAATTTGCATATAAACACTAAAACACTGTTTTTAAATTCGTAAACAAGCCAACAATTTCTTTATATTTTCGTATTTTTACATGGTCGTCCGCTGTACATTGTATCGCATGTAACGGTTTTGTAAATACGCGCGAAACTTATAATAAGAAATAGAGGGGAGTGAAACTGTGGGCACGTGATCAATATTAACCAATAACATTTCGGGATTTGAGAACCGCTTTCTCCAAGGTTTGTAGCAAAACCAAATGCTTACAATCAGATTAGAGTCGACTGTAAAAGCCTACCAAAAACTGATTTGTTCACAATTCGTAAACATTTCAACTCTGATTTCTTTTTAAATGTATTATATCATGCTTCTACTTCGAGAATATTGCCCATGGCATGTTTGAGAGTGGTAATAATATAAATTTTGTCATTATTTATCAAACTGTGAATTGCGATTTTTACGTATAACGTATTAAACACCGAAATATTCCCGTTTTAGTTTATTGTATGCTGGTTTTATATGGATAATTTCACATTAGAATATTTGAAAATGGCTTTAATGTTATAAAATAACACAAAATATAACAAAATCATGACGAAATGTCGAAAATGTTTAGCCTGTTTAGTATATTAATGTACTGAAATATGATTTAAAAAAGACAAATATATGGCATACTATACGATCAACCACAGTTTGGATTAACTATGGATCAACTCACGTTAAAAACATGTGAACTGAAGCCAAGATTGCATAATTCCATAATTATATCTAGCAGTGGCCTGTGCCTAGCAACGGTTGCTGTGCCTAGCAATTTGCTACAGCGTCTGTCGAAAGATTTTACCGGATGTGCCCACAGTTTCACTCCCCTCTATTTCTTATTGTAAGTTTCGCGCGTATTTACAAAACCGTTACATGCGATACAATGTACAGCGGACGACCATGTAAAAATACGAAAATATAAAGAAATTGTTGGCTTGTTTACGAATTTAAAAACAGTGTTTTAGTGTTTATATGCAAATTAGCGAACCAAAGAAGACAAAGACTACCTATTCAGAGATTTTACAGCCATATACAGGTACGAAAGTCTCGAAAACAATACTGCTGTGCTCCCTTGGTCAAACCTTAAACTTGTCCTTGTTTACATTCCACTTAATTCACTATAATAATTGTATAAATTCGATGGGTCCAAATTTTGGGGTTTTGAGTCGTTACATAAAGAAAAACACATCAATTCAACAACGCAAGAGAGTCCAGAGTGCAACACGACATATTTTCCATAGGAAACCGGCACAATTCTTGGAAAATTCAACGAAACTGTGTGAAATATATATTAGTCGCTCAGTGAAAACCACCATTTTTGAAACTGAACTGAATATGTCACTGGAGCACTCTATCCTTGGAGTTCGGAATTGTGCGCGTGCGTACAAGGGTATGGGCTAATAAACGAAAAATGTATCACAAGCATGGCATGAGACGGCTATATTACGTACATAAATACGTATTTGTTACTATATAGTATCTAAATCACGGAACCGAGGGGATTGTTGCTGCCGAAGGCAGCCTCCTATTCTTGACAATGTGTTATACCGCAGTTGAATTTCCCGCCAAATGAAGTATCGCGTTTACTTGTGCCCAGTCTCTTTGACCGAGCTATGTATTGTCGAGATCTCGATTTTGTGTCTGTCTGTCTTTCTGTAAAGATGTCGTAATTCCGGGGAAATAATTAAGGCTTCAGGAAGTTTTTTTAAACGAGGGGGGCGGTCAAACTTTATTTTGGGATCAAGTTCTTCTCAAGACAGTTACGAGCTTATTTACATTTTCATGATGGACAATATTTTCAATAATTCAGGTAAGGATAGCTTTATTTTCTTTTTGGTAATATACATAAAGGCATTTACAGTATATTTAGAACACTGTGATATTTCATGAATTTAGATTCAGCATGAATTTCAGAATTTACCCTGCGGCTGCACTGTCACTGATCGTCTTAATAGTTAAATATACAAGTAGTCAAAATCTGTTTTTAGTTTATTTGTTTGTGTGGTTATTTCCAAAGGCGATGAGTTTATACTGTTTATTCTACATGTTTATAACAATGTGCTTTCAGCACGTTTTAAAAACAAACGTGGAATGTTGTGTAGCAGGGCTTATAATTAGGCTTAATATTTAATATAAAGATATCCCTATAGCAATCCAGTGTGGTATAAAAGGAGGGGTGGCCAAACATTTTCTAGTGGGATGCAAGCAGCACCACCAAGCTTCGGCAAGAGTTAGGATTAAAGACTTTCACCCAAAGTAGGAGGGCTGACGTGAAATTTTGGTGGGGTTGAAGACTTTATAACACCTCGGGGTGTTATACTCGGTACTAACCCCCCAGGCCCAGTAAATCTGCCCATGGTTGTCTGCGCATATTAACTTACCAGCAGTTATTTAATAGCATGTCAACCGACTTTTGTACAAGGTATGACGATTTGTAAAAATATATCTCTGAGGTATGTCCATTGTTAGCATATTAAATAAGGAATAATCCTACCGGCCTACATAATACATTCATATATTCACCTGGCTGTGTCACTACATTTCAGGGTATACTATATTTTCTCGATAATGCTCACAATTTCTTTCTTATTAATATACGGTTTTGAAGTTATGACTGAGTACAATCTTAATTAATCATTGGCATTACAAATGAATGGTGCCATCTGAATCTGATGTATTAAATTAAACAAAAATGACAGTTGTTCTGTGATAGTGGTAGTTTTGTATTATAGTATTTCTATACATGAAATTGTTATTAAATTTTACATGTCTAATGATTCATTCAAGTATTATTATTGTTGTTGTACATTTATTATATAAAGTATATATAGTGCTTTATAGAGATTTCGAGCACTGATAAAACTGAGGAAATAGGAAGTTAACCCCCTTCGGATGTCCTAATACATTTACTATTATCAGAAACAATTTTTTCTCCCCTCTCCCTCCGGACGGCAGAAATTTCCTCCATGGGGGAGTATGGATCTTTTCTGGAACGACCCAATCTCACATGTGAAAATTATCGCTTTTCAATAATCGCTTTTCTGCAAAAATATCGCTTTTCAAAGACTGTCCTTTATATAATAAACAGAAAAATAGACATAAATACTTGGAAATACCAGATTTATTTCTCGAAATAAATCTGGTATTTCCGCACACCCATGTATTATTCTCTATATAAATATATAATATTGTACAGTATTCAGTGGCAAGCTAGTCATGGCAACTCGTCATGCTATGCCCTCTGTGCTATGCCTATGCTGATAATCTTGCATCTATTTGAATGATACAAATAATTAAAAACTTGCATAGCATGACTTGTTGCTATGGCTAGCTTCACCAATGACAGCATTGTAAGTATACATAACAAAAGCAAGAAGTTATAAGCATTGAAGGTATTCATATAAAACCACAGGTGGCAAGGCTCTGTGTGGGTATTTATTTATTTTTTAATTTTATTATATTTTGCATTACAAATTTACTTTAATTTTTTAAATTATAAAGTATAACTTACTTAGTTTTATTTATGTATTTTTTATGTATATGGGGGTGGTTTTAGTTTTATATAATGATATAAAAACATCATGAGAGTAATGGCAAAGCGGGATCATATAAACAGCCCCTTATTCAGCCAATTGTGCATGCTGCCTTTGATCCCTTGGGGGTGAGGCAGCACTTTCCTTGCGATAGTAACTTCTAGTTATAATAGTAATAATTATATAGTCTATAGTAATCTAGACTTTTAAAACTGCAGACTTATGTTCTTTACAAATTATTATACTTTGATAAATTGTGCAATAACTAATTGACTTATTTTTGGTCAGTATAAGTAGCAGCTATTTGGGACACTTTTGCACAACAAAAAATAGGGTAAATCAACACACGGGTTAAATCAACATCAAATTATCTTTATAGCTGAAATCCACCAATGTTTTTATAGGACGAAACTATTCATTTTATTTGGTCTAATAGTATTAGGCTGCAACAACCAATTTATAGTTATGGTATAACTAATCAGGTCATTTGCATAACCAATAAAATAGGTTAAATAAACATATTACTTTCCTTGGCTAAATTTCATAATTATACTTTTTATAAGTTGAACCAAAATATTTTGTATAGGTCAGTAGTTCAACCTATTTTTATTGGTTGTAACCATTCAATCTATTTGAACTAATAGTAATGGTTATAAAACCTATTCAGGTATAATAACTAATCGAGAATTTGCTTAGCCAAAACAATTGGCTAAATTAACCCATTTTTTATTGATGCAAAAACTTGACTTAATAAAATCTGTTCCATGCAGCCTATTCAATAGCTTAATTAAAATAACAATTATTTATTCGTTATATGACCAGTTTTTACAGTGCAGATTCGCTGGAAAAGTCGTTTCTTGGATTGCTATCAATGTTCAGAGAAGCATACTGCTGAACAATTTCATCCTGATCTCTGTCAAGTTGCGTGTAATTTTCCACGTTTAGACTTTGATAATTTGCATCATTCATGGGATCTCTCATGGAACTGGGGAGTTGTGCATATTCTGCTGGCTCTTCATAACAACTTTCAGAACCAGGAATTTGTGGTAGTTCCACGTTTTGTGGTGTATCATATTCATAAACAGCATCTCCAATGTTGCCAATGTCTCGCGTGTTTTCATTTATTGGCGTTCTTCGATAGAGAAAGCGAGCCAGAATAATCATTGCTGCAGCCATAGCAGCCACAACTGCCACCGCAATTCCAATAACAACGGCAGTGTAGTTGTCTGAAGAGGGTTCTTTCGTGATATCTGCATATAAAATTAATAAATTTAATTGAGTGGGCTATTCCACTGTCATGCATGCGTATAGATTAGTTTAGTAAAATAAAACCAAGTACTATATTAGTTAAAACAAGAGCATAATATATGCATGAGGGAGTGCTTTATGAGATATAAAACACAAGAGTGCAGCTCAAGTGTTTTATATCTGATAAAGCACAGACTGAGAGTGTTTTAAATGGCTTTAAAGAAACGAGCTATCTGATGAGCTCATTGGCGAAGTAATTCTAAAAAATAATAAACTTTGTCTAAGCCGAGAAAATCAGAGCTAAAGTTGATGTAAATGAACCTGATATTTTATCACATATAAAACCACCGACACGGCAGTGATTTCCTTTGCTTTTTCTTGGTGAATTAATGAGATTTTTAAAAAGTATTTAAGTAAATGGCAGGAAATATAAAATATGTTCTGTTTCCTGGAAATATATATATATATATATATATATATATATATATATATATATATATATATATATATTATATATATATATATATATATATATATATATATATATATATATATATATATATATATATATATATATATATATATATATATATATATATATAAATATATATATATATATATATAAGTTAATCACTAACACATATTTTTTGACGTTTCGACTTTATTGTCTTCTTCCAAGTAAAAATCGTTAACATAAACCCCTACTTATATACCCTACCAGACGAACATAATTATTCATACTCCTCAGAATCCTGTTCAATATTCAACCCCGAGGGGTACATTGTCATAAGTCTATTAATCCAGTACATTTCCCTAATCGTTGGTTCTGCTGGGTTGGTTTTATCAATTATGACTATATCACAGTCATTCATTAAGCCATTATGGTTTTCACCTAAGAAATGCGAATGAAAAAAGGCTTGTGTATGAGCTTTGTTGGACATTGCTTTCCTTTGACAAGATTTATAATTGTTCCATCGAAAGCGAAATTTATCTGTCGCCTGACCAACATATTGCTTCTTACACACTTTACATGTCAAAAGATAAACCACACACTTTGAGTCACAGTTTAAATGATGGTTCACTTTGTATTGTTTACCATCAGCTGTGCACCTAAAAGTGTCGGTTTCGTGAATATTTTGACACGTCAAGCACCTGGGTTTATTTCATTTCTTACATCCTTTCTCTCTTACTAATGGTGGTACCTTAGCTCTAACTAAGTAACTTCTTAAATTACGGCTTGTTCTAAACGCCGTAAATGATTCAGGGGTAAATACTTTACGAGCTTCAGTGTCTAAGTACAAAATAATTATGCAAATTTTTCTTAATTACTAAACCAAAGTGCTTTAACAAAGGATGGAAAGCTATAGTTAAAGGCACTCCTGTCTTACAACTTTTTTCTCTAAGTATATTATTACTTTCCGCTTTAATATTGTATTCCCTGACCCTCTTAAATTCTCTTTCTATGAGCCATGTTGGATATGCTCTATTTTTAAGCCAACTAGACAGTTCTTGTAAGTGTTTCTCAAAATCCTCTTCACGCGAGCAAATTTTCTTGATGCGCAAACCCTGACTATATACGATAGATCTTTTAACGTGCGCAGGGTGTGATGACTCATAATGTAGATATTGATGGCAATCAGTTGGCTTACAAAAAAGACTTGTAATAAATCTACCAGCATCAATTCCCACCGAAACATCAAGAAAATTCACTTTAGTCTGCGAGTACTCGTATGTAAATTTCAAGCCAGGATAGAACGTATTAAGTTTTTCCATAAACTGCAACAGTTTATCTTCACCTTCTAACCAGACAAAAAAGATGTCATCAATATACCGTAACCACACCCAAGGTTTTATTTCTTGTTGTTCTAAAAACTCAGTCTCCACCATATCCATAAAAATGCATGCATACGGAGGAGCAAATTTTGTGCCCATGGCTGTCCCAGAAATTTGACGATAAACATCTGAATTAAATTCAAAATAATTATTTTTAAGGACAAATTCCGCTAAACTGATAAGGCTTTCTGATGACACTGTTTTATCTTCACGTTCCTCTAGCTTGGTGTGAAGTGCTCGCAGACCATCCTCGTGTGGGATACTGGGATAGAGGCTTGTAACATCAGCAGTTACAAGCAATGCATTTTCCGGAACTTTACCTATTTCTTTTAATTTATCCAAAAAATGTCCTGTATCCCGAATGTAGGACTTCCCTGCTTTCATTATGGGTTTAAGATGGTGATCTAAGAATTCAGACGCCCTCTCTGTAGGAGTCCCACAATTAGAGATAACAGGACGTCCGGGTACATTTCGAAGCCTTTTATGAATCTTAGGTAAAAGATATAGCCTCCCCAGTGCACACGAATTTTTAAAATCGTACGAAAAATACTTAAATTCGTCTTTCGAAATGCATCCTTGATTATACAGCTTATGAAACATGTTGTTGCTTTCCTCAGTCAAAAACATCACAGTTTCTTCCGAAAACCTTTCCATTTTGGTGTAAACATTATTTTCACTTAGTTGCGAATATCCTTCTGCTAAATAGTCATCTCTATCCCAGTAGGGGTTTATGTTAACGATTTTTACTTGGAAGAAGACAATAAAGTCGAAACGTCAAAAAATATGTGTTAGTGATTAACTTATTTAAATGGCTTTTTGCCAGGTGATATATATATATATATATATATATATATATATATATATATATATATATATATATATATATATATATATATATATATATATATATATATATATATATATATATATATATATATATGTATAGATATAGATATAGATAGATATAGATATAAATGGCTATAGATATAAATACACTGGCTGCCACTATCTATGCTTGCTGCGAAAAATCAGACTTTACCATCAGCATCTTGGATCAAAACAACAGCAGAGCGCCTTGCAATAGAGATCTGATTTGTGTTAGTCGCCGTTAAATCCACGATAAAATTTTCAACTCTTTCTGTCAGTTGATCGTTTTTAATTGCTATTGCAACATTTTTTTATTCTCTCCCAGCATAATTTCAAGATTTTGAACTACGGATGTGTAGTCATCGGGACTTTTGGCTGTCTCATCTACAGTACGTAGCATACTAAACATAGAAGATTTAGAAACCAGTTTAATGGTCTATTATAGCAATATTTATACTAAAGTTTTCACCAATGTAGATTTGAGGAGCGAACTGCTTCGATAGCAATTGGGAAAATAATTAGTCCAAACTTGCGACTAGTTACAATATACATGATATTTAAAAAGGCCTGCTTTCTTGAGCTTTCGACTAAAATAATTTTTTCGTTGTAATTATTATTTGGAAACGCTCGCAATATCCATTTACAACGAAATTTTATTACTGCCTTCTTGCAAAGGAAAGAGTAAATAATACGATAAAACCTGGTTAAGTCCGCGTTCTCGTTGTGCGCACGATTGCCTTGTAATTTGTCTTTTTACCCAATGCTTAAATACAATACCTTCCTGCGATATCGACAGCTGTCTCGCCAGTTACAACCACTTCTACTGAGACGGACCCATCAGTTTCTTTCACTCGATAGACGATCTGTCCAATGGATAACCCAATTTCTGAAAGAGAAATTGTGCGTGGCTATCTCAATATCAATCAAATACGGGCTATGTGTATGTGTACACAAATTTACATGCAGGTCCCATATCTTTTGGATGTAAAATGCATATATTTTCACCGTATTTTTTCTTCCACGAGGGTTTTGGGGCACGATTTTGTAGACTTTCATATCTTAATAAATTAAATATTCTGTGAAAACCACTCTAATGTACCACAGAATACAAATGCAGAACAAACACAGCACGGAGTATGGAACGGTTTATCAAATAATATTGTGTCCGTGCATTGAGAAACAACCAGGCTTAACAAATTAAACTGTAAAAAATCCTTGGCCAAAATTCGTAAAAAATTATGGGGCCTTGGAATAACTTTAGGCTGAATATCCAAGATGGTGCCCAGAATATAAAAGTATGAATTAGTACTCCATATCAAACAGTTTTCGCACTATATAATACCCAAGGGTGCAACACAGTTTGTAATTCCTTGTTAGAAAATGTCAAGTGTCAGTTCGAACTTGTAAAGATTGACCGGACATGTTTAGTTGCAGACATCTCAGATCTGACAAATTTTAAAAACTCATTTTCCAGTTATTGTACAAAATAATTTAATATTAACACACTATTTTGATATTAATCACTGTTACATTGTTTTTCGTATGTTGTTTAATACTGGAATTTTTCCTTTCTGCATGACACACTTGAAAAACAATATACATAGTATACATGCACCACAGAATATCAGTCAAATGATTATCCAATGTAATAAATACAAACTATCATTTTCCAAAGATATAAAAGTAGTATATTAATCAGCTGGTTAATTGTTAATTTATGACATATTGATGAACATAAATTATGCTGATTAACACCGTTATTTTCAAACTTTCAGATTTTACGAGCATTAAGTGGAAAAATGTGTCAAAAACGTCAATTTTATTTCTTTCCCCGTTCTCTTTTTTGTTTAAAACTTTGTATAATAATATACTACAAAATACATGCATGCAGAAACCCTTGCCTTGCTGACAAAACCATTATATTTTCCGAATATAAAGTATTTAAGGTTACATTATATGATGAAAACACTGATTTCATTATTTTTTAGACTACATTTTTATTGATTTATATTCAGGGGCTGGAAATCTCTCGATTGCCGCAAGTTTTTTTCCAAATTATTAAAATGCGTCCGAAATATAACAAAAAATGTTATAACTACTTATTCTTTTGCCGCGAAAGTTGTAATTGTAATTGACAATATGTGCCCCGTTTATCTGGCTTGATGTGATACTCGATACCGCGGATGTGTGACCTTCAACCTCGCTTGTGTCTTCGTGGTGCACGGCAGATCTTAACCTATACTGCATTTTCGTTTGGCCGATTTAGATCGGTCTGTATGAGGCGCCAAATATAACAAAATAGATCATAGTTGTGTGATATATATTACTGCAAATATATACAGTATAACTCGTGATGAATAGGTTACTCTTCCAAATATTTAAATATTGTGTATAACTCGTGATGAATAGGTTACTCTTCCAAATATTTAAATATTGTAAGCGCGTGATATACATCACAAATCATGGTTTATATCACAACTCGTGATATAGATCACAATTAATTCAGCTCGTGATATAGGTTACAAATCATGGTTTATATCACAAGTCGTGATATAGATCACAATTAATTCAGCTCGTGATATAGGTTACAAATCATGGTTTATATCACAAGTCGTGATATAGATCACAATCCACAATGCAGCTCGTGATACAGGTTACAATTTCGCATTCGGAATTACTTCATCTTACGACCCATATAGTGGATGGAGGGCTATTTTATATTCCGGGGGGGGGGACATTACATTGGACCATTAATTGGACGACATATTTATTGTTGTGCTTCGCGCCTTCGCTTTGATTTTGAGCTGTAACTGACCGTCGTAAACACTGCGGAAGCTTACGTTTTCATGTACACACTTTTTTCAGGTGACCGGGCAAAAAATGATCAACTTTGCAAGTTCCGCGAGCAGTTAAAGTGAGTCGTCATGCAATTGGATGCATGCCTCTAGTAACTTGCCAAGCATGCGCACAAAAAAATGGGCACAGTAGTTATAACTCTGTATGTCTCTACTCTGTGGTAGTGTACACAAAAGTTACCACAATGCATTAGGGCATGGAACATTGTAAACACGGCGTAGAATGGCAACACTTCGCCTCAAAGCACGACGTAAAAGGGTCTACACTGCAAATTGCATTTCACACTTTCCATCGTTGAATATGAATATTTCGTTGCCCTAGGGCGCCCAACACAAACGTTTCACCAGCGTTAGGTAAAATCTGGAGAACCTCTCGAACAACATTACACAAATCAGTATGGGTAATTTCAGTAAACGTGTTTCGTGGCCCACTTGTGTTGCTGACTGGTAAGCGGTACTCGTGGCGTCGTCGTAATATAGTTCGGTAGCTCACTCCAATTTCCGCAGCAACTTGAGATCATCAGCTGCGGTGTATCCCATGTAAGTTGGTCAAAGCATTCTGCAGAAGACTGTATCGTCTTCTTCCTTTTTTAACAATTCCCTCTACACGGCAAAAAACGCCGAGCCCGTTGCTCAACAGGACTGAACAACGTTTTGCTGCCCACGTTGTTCACACTTGTCAACAATATTGAACAATGCTGTTGAGCCTGAATCGGCTGTAACAATATTGTTCAATATTGTTGACAGCTATGAACAATGTGGGCAGCAAAACATTGTTCAATCCTGTTTTCATCAGTATTGCATCAACCTGAGCGTTTTTACGCGTGTAATGGACAAGTAAAACTCAGCGGGTTAGCTAAGTTCTGATTTCTGATCCAAAGCGCGTCGTAACTATTGCACAAAGATTGCAATTCAGACACCAAAATACCAAGATCATTCTGAATTTGTCGATCGTCAATGCGTTCTATTGCACGCTGGAGAAGTATATTTACAACAAATAAATTGTCTTCTAGGCATCGCTGGATAAACTCAACAACATTGATATTGTCACAAAATAATTGACGACGCGCCTCTGTAATTTGATTTGGACTATTTCTCAAGAAAGCTTCGATGTTTATTTCTGGGCTTGTATGGACCTTTCCCTTTATAACTAAAATTTTAATCGAGAGAAAAATTTCATCACAGGTTGAAAGAGCGTCACAAAATTAGTATTATTGCGAAGTTTGCCGTTTTTCAGTCATTTTGTATTACGCACGGGAAATTGACAGCCCAATTGGGTGTTGGGGCATCAATTTCCCGTTTGTAATACAAAATGACTGAAAATTGCAAATTTCGCAAGGCTATATTTATCCGCATTTTACAACGTTTCTCAACGAAACTTTGGAATATTACTAATTTTGTGATGCTCTTTCAAGCTGGATGAAATTGTTGGCTAGATTTGTCTAGTTCAAAATTTTAGTTATAAGGGAAAAGGTCCATTCATGACGCCATTTTGAAACCCTGAAAACATTTTAAAATTTGAAACATCCCCCCCCCCTGAATATAAAATAGCCTTCCCTCCACTATATGGGTCATAAGATGAAGTAATTCCGAACGCGAAATTGTAACCTATATCACGAGCTGCATTGTGGATTGTGATCTATATTACGAGTTGTGATATAAACCATGATTTGTAACCTATATCACGAGCTGAAATGTGATCTATATCACGAGTTGTGATATAAACCATGATTTGTAATGTATATCACGCGCTTACAATAATTAAATATTTGGAAGAGTAACCTATTCATCACGAGTTATACTGTATATATTTGCAGTAATATATATCACACAACTATGATCTATTTTGTCATATTTGGCGCCTCATAGGTCTGTATAATAGCTATCCCCTTTTTAAATTTGAATTTCTCCAGCATATTAGCAAGCTTTTTTGTGTGGTTTCTCGCATGTACGGTTTCAAAAGAGAACTAAATAAAACTTTATTATATATTCTTCAATCAGAAGACATGTTTATTAACACTTCAATGATCATTCCAAAAATTAAACAAGTTAATGCTAATACAAAATGTTAAAAATAATGTATTCCTTGAACTCTATTTATTTTTATATGAAGCAGGCATGCCGACGGTCTTTTTTGGTTTTTCATTTGTATTTCTCAAATTATTACTTATTCTTATTATATTACCCTTATTAATTTTTTTATAACGGAATAATTTAATCTGCCTGCACGAGTCCGCCTAGACTATAGCTTTGCTATTTGCGGACCAGATAGAAATGTGTAACGTAATTTATTTGTTCTTATTAATAAAGTTGAAAGTTGAAGTTGTTGTTCGTGGTAAACTGATAGTGAGTAAATGACACCTAAAACCGTTGCCAAAACACACTTTACTAATTTTAATCCGATTACACTTCGAGGTAATAACATGCAGAGAGCAGAAAAACCCCGCGAAATCTAATGTCGTCTTTTACGGAGATTGAAATATTCTCAGATTGTCCCCACAAAAATAGTTGAAAAACGCGCACGTTTTATTCGATTCCTTCCAAACTTGGCCACAATGTTGAACAATTGTGCAGGAGCAAAACCATGATCGCGTTTTTTAGTTTATGTCATACTTTTCAAGCTATAGGCATCTGCATGTTCTGCCGTTCTCCCAATTAAAATTTAGATGAGTCAACTTAATTGTCTGGTTTATATCATGATCAAAGCAAATACAATACCTGTCAAAAAACGCGAACACCGTTTTGTTCTTTGATCAATTGAGATAGGAAATATTATGTTTCGGAAGCCTTTGAGGTAAATCAGAAGCGCTCTAATCTCGTGGTGCAAAGGCCGTCATATTTTCAAAAGTAACACGTAGCAAGTACAGTTTTTAAATATGTACAATTTTTGGCAAATCCTTAGCTACAGCAACGATTTATCATTATGCATTTTCAAAATTTTCAAAAGCATATATTTGGAAAATCACGTGCACAATGAGCTTTGAAGCAATTTTTGTTTGAAGAAATGAGAAGAATTGATTTACTGTGGAAAATCGTGGAGTATAGGGCAAGTTTGCTTTGAATGTTTAATGTTTATGAATTTTGTTGCTTCAATTTATTGCGTAACACATGCACTGCTTTCCTTTGAATGAAGCTGCATTAAAATTTGCTAAATTACTTATTTAAGAAAAAAAGGTAAAATGTAAAGGAGAGCAAATTAATTTAAAAACCGAACTGAAATTACTCAATAATTTGAACTTATTTTGTTTTATAAACTAAAAACCCGTGCAGTTTATCGGAAAAAGCAGTTTATAGTTTAAAATGAACATTTCAAAACATTTTACGACTGAAGAGATTCAGGTTAAATTTTACATTAAATCAAAGCTCACAAAATGCAGAACATTAGCATATACCTACAGTACATATTTCGGAAATTCATTGTTGCTGCCGAGCGAAGCGAGGCGGCACACTAATTTCGTCCCAGTCTCCCGGTCGGATGTATATATTGCATTCAGGCGAGATTTTGTGTCGTGATGTTGGCGAATTTGTGACGTAAAATGACGTAGCAATTACAAAATGGCATACACAGGGATTTTACGAAAACAATCCGAATGGAATCGAATAACTGTGTCGGCACTGGAAAACTGCATTGGCGATGTGATTTGGTGGTCGGCCAAGCAGTAAGCAGCGTGTTTTCCCAGTATAAAGCGACTGGTTTACATGCAGTATGTTGGATTTTCACGATGCAAACGATCGACAATATATTGAATAATTCAGGTAAAGATAGCTTTATTTCTTTCTGGCGATGCACTTGAAGGCATTTATATTTAGATCTGCTGTTTAGTGTTCGATATAGAGGTATTGAAACAATATGATTTCATGAATTTATCAGCAGTTTTAATAGCCCACTGATACACTTAGATACAAGGAGTCAAAATGAATACTTTCACTTTATTTGTTGTGTAGCGATGTGCCAAGGCGATGTGTTTATAGTGTTCATTCTATAAATGTTTATAGCAATGTGCTTTGAGAAATGTCCATTGTTATATGTTATATGAATAAATGTATAGTGTATACTCGAGTCTATACTATAGTCTATGTGTATGCAGTATTTGCGTGAGTGCATATAGTGTATACTGCAGCTATTTCAATTAAGGTTGTTCACGAGCAAAGCGGAAAAGTCGAATACGTGCGCGAAAGGCTGCCGGGAACCGCTTTGAAAATTCATTAATTTGTTAGCGATTCCCATGCAGCCTTTTCCGCTTTCCTTGTGGACAACCTTAATTGAAATAGCTGTATAGTATATTGGCTATTACGTTGAATAAGGTCAATACTATAAATTATTGTATGATGTTTGTTGTAATTTGCGCGCTATGTATTCGTTTTGAATAATTGAAGGTATCAAAGAACGAGGCAATACGATAAATTATTGTATGTTTGTTGTAATTTGCGCGCTAAGCTAGTATTCGTTTTGAATTAGGTTTTTGAAGAACGGCGGATACAACATTATAAATTATTGTATAATGTTTGTTGTAATTTGCGCGCTATGTATTTGTTTTGATTATATAATGTTTGTTTTTCTGAAACGAGAGATATTGGTACAAAGTGTACCGATGGTAGAAATAATACCAGACCGTCCAGACGCATTGATGAAAATGATATCATGTTTCTCTGTACACCACTGGTGGTGGGTAAGCCAGATATTGGTATCGAATTTACCGATCGTAAAACACTTTTACCATGCGTTACATATCGTAATATGATGATCGCCTCGTTTTCTATTGTTCTCATAGGGAATTTAAATCCCGTATTTTCCTCATTACGCATGCAACAGGGAATATTTCGCTTTGTCTACTAAATTTCCCCGGGAAATTTAGTAAAAAAACAAAAGATTTCTTTGTCTACTAATCTTCCCTCATCAAAAATGCACGGGATGATTAGTAGACAAAGAAATCCTTTGTCTTTTACTAAATTTCCCGCTTCCATATTTAATGCAAGCGGAAAACCTAAAACACTCAACAATTTTATTCAACATAATTATTAGATTTTAAATGTACACAAGTATATGACTTTGCTAAACAATTAAACGTTAAACTCCAACTCAAGACCAACTGTAAAATTCATGCTATCAACGTCCGTTTATATTTATGTTTATATTACGTGACTATAGCAGTGAAGCAAACCACTTAGATTTATAGATCCTCTGAAATTCGTTTCTTTCTGCCTGAAAATCTTTAAACTGCTCGTTCCTCTCTTTAACCCACGCGTTGTACACATTTGTACTCCACGTAGTGTGCCTTATGGTATTCTTTGGCACTCTATCTTTTCGAACATTTTCAACTGCCCTGTCTGACACAAAATATAACTTTCCAGTTGCAGCCATATTCGAAAACTAAGTTTAAAATCAATGCAGTGATTTACATAAGTCTCACAACAACAAAGCATGTCCCAAAGGTACACTTATTTCAATCAATAGTCAAACTCATAAACAACTTCATTGAAAAATACAAAATCAAACAGCTAAACTTGTCTCTGCAGCAAACTTTTTTGAGTTTTCCTCGGCGATCATAATATTACAAACTAATAACATGACTAGTCGGGAAATTAGCGATTAATTTCCCTTCGCCTTGGGAAGTTTTGTGAAAGTCCTCGGGCTTCGCCGTCGGACTTTCACAAATCTTCCCTCGGCGTCGGGAAATTTAATCTGCTAATTTCCCTCTAGTCATGTTATTACTTATAATAATATTGGACAAGTATGAGTTATACATACACATAAGCAAGAAATTATAAGCATTGATGGTATTCATATAAAACTACCCATACCTATCTAGAAAGTAGAATTAGAATATTAAGCTGAACTTTGACTTAATTTGAGAAAGCTTGCAAGGTGTTTGATATCCAAATTGCACTTTTCCTACTTGCTGCACAGGCGTTTTAGGGCTGTTCGAATGCTGGTTAAATTAACTGAACTGTAGAGAAGATCTTGTAGTTCAAGAAAATTATTATTGCTTGAACCATTCGTTTACAGTTAACTATAACCTATCTCCAGAAAATAATGACGTTTTTTGCTGAATCGTGCACTGTGACTTATTTCAATCATCGAAATCATCCCGCCAAACATCTCGTCCTGGCAATGCGGGATCATATAAACTAAACAGGCTCTTATTCATCAAATTGCGCATGCTGCCTTTGATCCCTTGGGAGTGAGGCGGCACTTACCTTGCGATAGTAATTTCTAGTTATACTGGGTGTATAAAAAAACTGCACAGATTTGAAATTTGCTCTTAAATTCGCAAAACAGCTATTAGTATCCAGTTTTTTTATGTATATAGCTTCTTTGGGTACTTATAATGTAGAAAAATGGAAAAAATTTCTCGAACTCAAATTTTGTGAACCAGGGGTGTGTGTCTTTTCCAACAAATTAAAAATGGCTTTGCGCACGAAATTTAAAAGCTTTAATCATATTTTAAGTTAACAGATGGAAAGTTTGTTGGGTGTTTAATTACTGTTATTCAGACAATTTGCTTCAGTTTACGCCCTTTAACCATTCACGCAAACTTACATTTTTTCTTAAAAAATCACCATTTGCATGCTAATCAATGCCATTTTCCTAATTTGCATATGTCAGCAATATGCAAATTAGGTAAAGGCATTAATTAAGCATGCGAAAGGCTAATTTTTTAGAGAAAAATGAATAGTTACCTTTAACAATTCTAGTTTACCTTAAACAAAAGCAAATTGTCTGAAATTTTGTACAGAAATTAAAAACCCAACAAATGTTCCATCTATCAACTCAAAATATGATTAAAGCTTTTAAATTTCGTGCGCAAGCCATTTTTATTTTTTTGGAAAAGACACCCCCCCTGGTTTACAAAATTTGAGTTACAGAAATTTTTTCCATTTTTCTACATTATAAGTACCCAAAGAAGCTATACACATCAAAAACAGGATACTAATAGCTGTTTTGCGAATTTAAGAGCAATTTCAAATCTGTGCAGTTATTTTTTATACACCCTGTATAGTTAAAAGCAATAATCTTTCAACTATTTTTGGCGTGTTGTGCCAAAAATATAATAAAAATTAAATTTATCGTGTTGCCATGACAACACTGACGTAAACGCGAGCCTGCGTTCTGTGTTAATCAATTACTAATACTTCATGTTAAATCAATGTTTGGAAAAAATACATGCGAGGAGTTGCTGCATGCATGTATTTCTAGTTAAATTAAACTTGCGTTGTGTTTTACGTAATGTAACTTGCTGGAATGTAATTATAGGCCCGTATTTTCTTGTTATGAAGCAGAAACAAATGAACTGTTTAGCTGCGCATCCCATTTAATTTAAATTGATAAACGATTTTTCTGCCCTTCACATTAATGTTCTTTCTCAAATTCGACCTAACTCACTTATGGCATTCGCCATATTTTTGGTTTATTGGGTGGTCCACGCATGAAACCTGGGATAACGGACATACATGGATTTACTGTTTATACTCTGGTGCGTTCCGGATGCATAAACGTATAAGAAAGTAAGATACTCACTGTCATTATCCGTTATGGAAACAAGAATATTGCCATTTACAACGTTCACTTGTGGATCAGATGATGTGACACGAATTCCAAACTCTTCAGTATTTTCAACAACGTTATCGTCAAGGATACGCACAAGGAATGGCAACTGAAAACTATTTGATTGTAATGTTACTAATTCGGACTTTGCTTCGTAGTCATTTAACACAGCCAAGGCAGAAACATCATACGTCGATACACTGTATGGGACAAAAATGAATAAGCAATGATAGAAACATAGGGATTAAACAGGTTGTAAACATATAGGTTTTAGACTGTCAAAATGACAGCATATACAGGGTGTATAAAAAAAACTGAACAGATTTGAAATTGCTCTCAATTTCGCAAAACAGCTTTTATTATCCAGTTTTTTTAAATATATGGCTTCATTGGGTATTTATCCCCGAGCCGGCGGCGCGAAGCGCCGTGCGAGGGTACTAATTCCCCCCGGCTATTTACACCCGGGGAAACGAAAGCATTAGGGAAGTCTAAAGTTCATCAATGAGCGCGGGCGTCGGTCACCAACGATGGGTGGTCATCCTCACTGATCTCAAAAATATGGCGGACTGTCATGAATAACAGACACTGATTGGTCCAATTTAAAGTTTGCATTATAACGGCTGCATCACGACAGCGAAATAGCAAACAACAAACATATCTTGATTTGATGAGTTGATGATTGACTAATTTCTTGCAAATATTCTTCATTTTGCTCGTATTTCTGCAAGATTTTGAAAATTTCAAGAAAGAAAGGGCGAAAGAATCAGCTAAAAGAAGGGAGCCGACGTTAACGAAGGTAAGTTTGTTTTAAATATTGATTTTATAATTGCTTTAAAACCCGACGGTCTTTGCGTATATGAAACAACTAAACAAGACAGCATATAATTTCAGTGTATCTTTAATATTGATTCCCTTTTTTATTATATTGAATTTTTTAAATAAAAAAATAAAGCAAAGTTATTTGCAAGCGAGAATTTGAAATCATTTTATTGCAAACTCAAAGTTTATCGATAAAGCCAGTTAATAGTTAAAAGCAGTTTAGTTTTATAAAGAACACTTTAAAACGTTTTGTGAATTGTTTGTGGTTGAATTTTACTTTAAATTGAAGCTTGTATTACGTATAATTACATACCTAACATAAATATGTTGGGAAATTGATAATTTTGTAATTAAAAGTGATATTTTTAGGCGATTTTCATTTGTAAGAATATTCTTAAAAAATTATCGTGTTACCATGACAACTACTTTAGATACTTCATGTTCGGAAAATACAACGGTTTTGTCAGCAAGGCGAGGGTTTCTGCATGCATGTATTTTCTAGTAATGTAGAATAATGAAAATCTCAAATTTTGTAAACCAGGGGTGTGTGTCGTTTCCAACGAAATAAAAATGGCTTGCGCACGAGATTTAAAAGCTTTAATCATAGCGTGAGTAGATATGTAGAAAATTTGTTGGGTTTTTAATTACTGTACAAAATTTCAAACAATTTGCTTCAGTTTAAGTCGTTTAAATATTCACGCAAACTTACATTTTTTCCTAAAAATCAGCTATTTGCATGCTTAATTAATGCCTTTGCCTAATTTGCATATGTCGGCAATATGCAAATTAGGTAAAGGCATTAATTAAGCATGCGGAAGGCTGATTTTTTAGAGAAAAATGAATAGTTAAAGGCGTAAACTAAAGCAAATTGTCTGAAATTTTGTCCAGTAACTAAAATCCCAACAAATTTTCCACCTATTAACTCAAAATATTATTATTAAAGCATTTAAATTTCGTGCGCAAGCCATTTTTAATTTGTTGGAAAAGACACAACCCCTGGTTCACAAAATTTGAGTTCGAGAAATTTTTTTCATTGTTCTATATTATAAGTACCAAAGGAAGTTATATACATCAAAAACTGGATACTAATAGCTGTTTTGGGAAATGGAGAGCATTTTCAAATCTGTTCTGTTTTTTTTTATTCGCCCTGAGAGGAAAGAATGTACCAAGGTCTTAGGACTCTCAAATGTTGCAAATGTACTATAAAGTATATCTATTCTACAACGTGAATTACGAACCACAATATTGAAATAAATGTTTGGAAAATATTCTAGTATTTTTCCTGTATCTGCTTTTATCTTTTCTCGATGGGAGAATCTGCATAAGTTAACTACTCGGGGGCTAAACTAAAAAAAAAACACTAACAAAACTGTAAGGAAATAGTATGATATAAGATTTGATATTCTCATTGGCAAAACGGAATTTCCTACCTCTATATTCGACATGAGAAGGGCGAGGAAAATGAAAGTAGATTAGGGCAACATTATTTTTGAGTTTATGTGATTCTTATAAAAAATTTAACTCACTTGACGTATATGCTCCTTTCTCTTATACCGTTCACTTTAACAAGGACAACAGCGTCAGCCGTAGTTTCAGTTACATCAGTTTGCAAACTTTCCAATGTCACATTTGCAACTAAGAAAACTAAATCAAACAATTTATATTTATATTTGCCTATTATTTTTAGTTTACACTTATGTTAACCATGATTTGTGATTACCAATCCTGAGTTTTGATAGGCTACTCAACCATGAAAGTGCGATTTAAAGAAGTTTCCACTTTGGCGGGTGGAAAGGGGGGGGAACAATTTTCTTCCAAATAAAAAAATTCTGTTTTAAATTACTTCTGTTTTAGTTTCTGCGTGTTTACTACGCTTACACGCCTCACAAATACACTTGCATGTTTAGCGTAGATAATTATTGCCTAAGTTATTTTGAAGGAAAATTGAATTCATGGAATAATAAAGCAATATTTACATTTTCGAATCTTCTTTAAGTATCTCCGCTGTGGAGACGCTTAACGTAGCTTAAATGGTGTTAAAAACAAATTTCTAGCGCTTTCAGGCGTAAAATAGCGAAACCATAGATTTTCATATAATCTGGATAGCGCATCTCTTTTAGTAAAACTGAAGCAAAGAATATTTCAGCTGTTGGTAGTTCCCACTCGCCATAGTAAACGCTTAAAAACAACAATAACTTTCATCATTTCAATAGTATAAAATGTATTTGGAATAGGTTTATCTTAATGTTTAAGTTCCCTGTTTAATTAAAAAATAAAAATCATACGAATCTTCTCATTTAATGCATGGGAATATCCTGAGACTGCAATCACTGCTTCAATTTTTGAATTGCAGAATAATTAGATGCAGTGCCTCTATCTAGTATATATAAGGCCTAGTTTATACGTCGAATTTCAGTCGAATTTGATGCGTCGAATTTCAGTCAAGTCATGACATCCGACGAAAATTCGACGTATAAATTGACTGATCAGTCGTGTAATGCGACCGAAACGCGACATTGATTTATACGTCGAATTTCCGTCGCATTGGATAAAATTAGATTGTTATCCACAACTGTACCCTAAAATCAATAACAACACTCTTCGTGGACTCCACAAAGTGTGATTTTCAACATGGCGGACAAACAACATCCATGTTCTAATTGCGAAAAATCGACTAAATATCGTTGTATTACATATATAGCATACAGACGAAGAAATTGAGGGATGGATTCCAAATGTAAGCGTTGCTTACTGCAACAATTACTGCTCCAAAATAACTTCCATATCAATGATTTCCTCTTTCATAATCTATGTTCTTCCGTCAATGGAAAATAAGTAGACACATAATCCTGCCATAAATGTGTAATCATTATTTCACAATCCTCAATGACAATTTTATGAACTCTAAGAGGAAAAAACTGACAGAAAAAAAAGAAACTGGCAAAAAAAGAAACTGGCAAAACAAGAAACAAGAAAAGAAACTGGCAGCTCTGTTTTAATTTTTTATCCAACTGGTTTTCAATCTTGTGAAGAATGGTTGGGAAGATTTGTCGTGACAAGCGAAAAGTATTCTTTAAATTGCTTTTCAGAATAGTTTGACCGCGGATAGTCCAACTCCAACCAATAACTCTACTGACAGTAATGTGCTGATTTTTCAAGTCGACGACATGAACGAATTCGATTCGGGGCATTTTCGTTTCACACAAATTGGAAGGCAGTGCCAAGCAGAGTCGAAGAATCTTCCTTGTTCTATATAATTACCAAGTACAAAATTTGCAATTGCTTCTGACGCCTTTCTCTTATAATTTTCAGGATTAGTTTCAAGATGATTCCTTTAGTGAAGTCAGCCATATTTATTTTGTAGGCCTTCATCTGTCTATTTTAAAACCTACAACACCCGCATGTTTTGATTTTCCGACCAAAATTCGACGTCTAAACTGCACGCAACACTTCGGTCAACTTTTCGTCGCATAATTGTCACATTACATTCGACGAATTAAATTCGACTGAAATTCGACGTATAAACTAGGCCTAAGATATCTATGAGCGAAACCAACGTTAACAACGTCCCGAGTACTCCCGAGCGATGTACGATTATTTTCGAAATGGTACTGAACAAACAGCGAATCTAATTTTAGGCATTATGGTGTGCTGATGTTTTGTTGTGTAAACGGGAAGCCAATGTGGACAAATATTCGTATATGAGTACAAAATTGTATGCCGATAAAAAATTCACTGGAGCCGTGTAAATGGGGCCTTTAAAAAATCAGATTGGTCTAGCGCTTATGATTTAATGCTTAGGTTGAGTAGTTCTAGTGCCAACGCGAAACATTTACAGGAACGGCTTTTCTGCACTACAGCCGGGCAGTTAGAACCAACGAATGAGGTATAGGCGTACGGCTGTGGGGGAGGTGGACGGAAAATTGCCCGACTTTGATGGAATATATAGTTTAACTTAAAATGATAAGAATTGATTTCTGCAAAAAAGTGATGAGCCAAGGATATTGTGAAGATAACGTCAAATTCCGCCATAAAACTGGGCAATTTGTTCTATATATTTTGTTTTTCATTGTTAGAAATCTGGAGAAATATGTAAATTTTTGTAAACTAACCTTGACAATTATACCCGTTTCCTGTGTAGCCATGATTACAGATACAACTGAATGAACCTTTAGTATTATTACACGTAGCGTTTTTATGGCAATTGTCACTTTCCTCTGTACATTCATCTATATCTGAACAGTTCGTTTGAAAATTAGACGAGCTGTGTTAATTGGCATATTTTATTTTTAATAAATAAAATTTCAAGGTTAAAACCCTTGGTTTAGCAATTAATAAAGTATATTTTAAGCAAATGTATGGTCAATATAAATTTAAGTTAATTAATAATATAACGGGTTAAAAGGTAAGCTTACACTGTGAAGCCTGTCCAAACGGCAGTTTGCGTCTGCCCAAGTCACAAAAGGGCTATTAGTGAGCCGTTAACCAAGCGGCGTTTTTGTCAACACAGACGTCACCCAAAAATTGGTATACTACTAATTTTGGCGGCATTTTGCATCATGTAGCGCTTGTTCAAAGAAGCAAAAAACTTTAAAACTTTATGTTTTGTCATAGTCCAGTTCATCCTCGGAAATCTCCCCCCACCCCGTCCCCCCACGCCGTCCCCCCACCCCCTCCCCCCACCCTTGCCAATCTGACGTCCATGTTGTCAGAAAGGTCGCTTGCTGAAGCTCGCTATTATTTACTTCAACCTATTGACAACCTGCAGCACACTTGTAGCAATGCCCTTCCAACACCTTGTCAACAGGATGTGTTCGCACTGCTTGTTCCCAGCTTGTTGACAAGTTATCAACAGCTTGTTGACAACTTGCTAAAAGGTTGTTGAGCTCAACAGACTTGCTACAATTTGTTCAAACAACTTGTTATATCGTGCTGCAAGGCAACTATTTGCCAACAAGTTGCATTGTGAGTGACAACTTGTCAATATGGTAGCAACTTGACAAAATAACAACCTTGTTACAATTTGTTGACAAGCTTGCCACGAGCCAGTTGCGAACGCATTTTGTTGACAAGTTGTCAGGTTTGTACTGTATGTGTGCAGATCAAAAACATGCACAGGTTTTCAAGTGAAAAGCCCATGACATTTTTTGCCATTCTACTAAAATGCTTCGAGATACTTTCTCCTTTAAAATTAACCAATCGTATGGCCCAATACTGTGCAAGCTAATTAGCGCATAATTTGGAAGATCTTGCCCCATATCAGTTCATTATAATAACTTTAGCCGCGTTGTGGCGTATTTTGCGGGCTAAAATTAACAAATTAGAACAAAATGAAAAATGAACAAAATGAACTAAAATACATTTTAGCCCGCTGAATTTTCAAATGTTTACGTCCGCCGGCAAGTTTTCTTATTTTTTACCAACAAAATGGCTGTAAAATTACGAGAAGAGAAGATCTATTTTCAAATCCACTCCCGAATAAAGAAAGGAAAAACAAGTCTTATCTACTTTCTGGCAGAATCTATATACACATACAGTCTAGTGACGAAGTGAATGTATGTAAATGGATCAATAGTTCGCTTGGTTATGTTAAATCAAACTATTACTTCATAAATTGTATAAGCTCTTTTTCATTCTTCTTTTTGCCTTTTGAGGAAGGTATGGTTCATTTTTCTCCGTATATAAACTGAGTCTGTATAGTTGATACAGCGAAATAGTCATGCATGTATAGCGTAAAGACGGCATTGCAATTATTCTTCTATTTGTCGTTTATTTGTTATCTTTTATACTGTAATCGCCCTCATAAGTTATTAGTATGGGTAATAGCATGGTTTCGAGTGCAATTGGATATAACATGCATGCACGAGTGAGTTTTTCAAAGACCTCAAAATAGCACGAATCCGAAGGACGCGTGCTATATTTGAGGTCTTTTGAAAACTCACGGGTGCATGTTTATCCAAATTTCACGAGAAACCATGCTATTACTAATTAATAATTTACTTAAAAATGTTCGAGCCAAGTGTAGTTTTAATTTACGTTGATATTGAACCGTCCACACTGACAAAGTTTTCCTGGCTTTTTTATATCACATTATGCAACGCTAACTGCTTGAAAATTCCACTCAACTATGTATTGTATGTTAGTCTTGTTTAACTAAGGTAAAGGCTTTTTGATTAAAAAAAAAGATAAAAGCCTTATTTTCCAACCGAAGTCGACTTTTACTTTATGTAGCGCGGCACCATGTTACTTTGTTTTGTTTTGAAGCAATCTGTGACCGCTACTTCTTTAAACTATAAACTGCTTTAAACTTCTTTTACTATAAACTGATTGGTTGATTCTATCGTCACATTGTTTTTCCACCAATCAGATTGGTTTGATACATACTTTTGCACTGTGATTACAGAAAATTGCACTGCATGTGATTACAAAAATTGCACTGTGATTACAGAATATTGCACTGCTGTTTGGGATTAACTGCATTGAAATCAACAAATCATAGTCGAGTAATATTTTCATGTTTATTATTATTATAATAGTAGTACAGTTAATGTTCTTGGGCATAAATATGTTTTTGGCCCGTCGCAGAATATAATTAACCCTGGCTACGGTCTGGCTAAAATGAGTCCGAGTCAGGCCAAAAACATATTTATGCCCGCGAACATCAACTCTATTATTCAAATTATTAAGAATTCTCCACCCACCCGCATCTTGCAAAATCTTGCAAAAATGAAATATATTTGCAAATGATCATCATTCATCAATCATCAATCATCAATCATAAAAACAAGAAATGTTTGCTATTTCGCTGTCGTCTGCAGTCGTTATAATGCAAACTTTAAATTTGACCAATCAGGGTCCGCTATTCATGACAGTCCGCCATATTTTTGAGATCGGTGAGGATGACCACCCACCGAAATTTACTTCGTGACCCACGCCCGCGATCATTGATGAACTTTAGACTTCGCTAATGCTTTCGTTTCCCCGGGTGTAAATAGCCGGGCGGAAATAGTACCCTCGCCCAAGCTTACTAGCGGAACGGTGCTCCGCGCCGTTGGCTCGGGAATTAATACTTGAAATATCATTAACAATTCATAAACCTTGTGACAAATCATGTCAGCCATAATATATATGTCACGTGGAGTGACTTTATATCTGATAAAGCATGCGGGATTATATAATTGTTCATCCCAATTAGTATTCTTTTGTAGTCGCATTTTAATCTATTCAAAACACTCGTTGTCGTGTTTTATCAGACATAAAACGCTCGGCTGCGCCTCGCATTTTATATCTGATAAAACACTCCTACTCGTATTTAAATAGTACATATAAGACTGACGTACTAATTAATACTATTTAAATAATAGCTATATACAAATATTGATGTAATTAATTGTGTTCATGCATTTCCAATGCTCCATACCGAACACTGCGAAAAACATCTGCGCATGCGCGCGTACAAAAAAATGGGGAGGAATTTGCCAAATTGTAAACAAAAACATGACTATTTAATTATTTAAGGTAATTGAAACAAACAAAAAATACACTGGATGGGTAGTTTATACATTAATAAAAGTTTTCTAACATTTAAATCTAAAAGGAAACAGAATTTAAATTACAAATTACCGTTTCAAGCCGGGAGGCGTGTGATCATTTCTTAAAAAAATTTCGATTACCGAACGTAAGACACAAAAGTTAAGAAACCTATCGAATAGTTTGCATTTGCACACGATTAAATTGTGGAGTAAATCATTACCCTTAAATATAGTCAACGCAAAAATTAAACATGCAACGCAAAAAAAGTTATGTTACTCTGAATGTATATCCACACTGGGCAAGCTCGAACAATATGCCTGGCCACGGTGAGAATCGAACCTACTATCTTTGAAATACTAGCCCAATGCTCTGCCAACTGAGCTACGTGGTCAGGTCGGTTCGAGTATGTGATATTTCGGAACTGTTTCTAGCTCCTTCGATATCAATGCAATTAGTAATATAATCATGATTTTTTTCAGTGTTGGTGTTATATACTCAGGTGAATATGATGCATGTGATGTTACTCTGAGTGTATATCCACACCGGGCAAGCTTATAAAATATGCCTGGCCACGGTGGGAATCGAACCTACGACCTTTGGATATTTGTATAGTTCAGTTAAAGAACGTTTTATACAATAAATTTATAGACAGTCACCTTTGGCATGTAGACTGTAATTATTTCTATTTTTTTAGGTTGTCACGTTCATTATTCCCCTTGCATTTTTATAGGAAAGGCAAAACATCGTAGTCGCTCCTTGTGGCTTCCAATTTGAGTTTTTGACAACCTTCGGAACACTTGACACCACGTTCGCAATACAGATTTCAGTAATTTTGACCCATGCGCAGACGTTTTTCCGCGGTGTTACAATACCGTAGAATAATCACTCAAGAAAAGGACATGGTGCAGAGGCGCAAACAATATAGTTGGTACTGTAGATTGTATATTGATTTTACTATGTATATTTTTTAATGCATTAAAATACCACTTTCGGTTGTCAATTTTTGGTATTTTTGTATATTAAATTTGTGGTTCGGAATGATATTCAAAATGTTAACTTCAGGCTATCGATTCAATATGCATCAGACTTACCTAAATCTAAGGACTACCCATTGAAGTTTTGCACCACTTGGTCAAGCTAAGGACTGGCCACATGGGTCTAGTGCCCTTCGCTAGGTTAACTGTTAAAGCGTCCGTTCAAACGAGTCCAGCATCGTCCAACATTGTCGATCCAACAATGTTGGACGACAATGTTCGATTTATTGCCGAGAGCGATTGGATTGGTTAAAGTACATAGCTCGCTCATGTACGTTTTTTTCATGACGTTGCATGTCGAATAATTAATGTAGAAAATTGGTTATTTCTCGCAAATATCACAGATATTAGATGAGAAGATGAGAAGTAAACTGTTTCTTTTAACAGATATTTATATATACTCATCTGATTAACCGTTCGAGTGGCAGCGTTCTTTCCTTAACGAGTAAAACTGTCTGGTGTTGTATAGAGAAGATAAAGTAATAAAATATATGGTACATCATGGTGCACCGACACTTTAAAGGTTAACATACATAAATATGATATGATTTTGTGGTATATAATATTTTGTGGTGTAAACAAAGGCTTTTGCTGCTCTGCTTTTTGATGAATTGTGCAATTTCATGTACTTGCTACCTGCAGATATGTTGAATATGTCTTGTTGTACAGTACGTGATTGTTTGCACTAGTTCTAACAAAGCTAGTAACCTCCACATATACTGACAGGACAAATACATTCGAATGAATAATCCCTATTGTTAAGCTATGTTTAAATTGAAATCTGATCGGTTTTTTATGATCGATTGGTCTAATTTAAAATTTGCAGCATGACGACAGTGAAACAGCAAAATTTCTCGCTTTGGCGATTTCTTACAAATATATTTCTTTTTTGCAAGATTTTGTAAATTTCAAAAGCTTTTTGAGAAAAACAAAGCGAAAGAATTTCTAACTGAGAAGGGAGTAAAAGCGCAGACATTAAGGTGGTCTTATACAACACAAAGTGTTGTTTTGAGTGAAATTTGCCATTTTTCAAATCTTGAAAAAATACAAACTCTAAACCCTACTTAATCATATTTGTATCATTTTATTGCTCAAAAATACCAAAAAATCTTGAAAATTTAGCAAGTTCGATAAATTTACACTTAGCAACGCCCATAGCAACCAGATGTTTGCCTCTTTCAAAGCGTTCTAAGGTTTGAATAATTTATATTTAGATCAGTATTTACCCCTCCCTTTCAAGTATACGGTATTGAAGTATTCCCATGTTAGCTTTGGTACCGCTGGTCAGACTTTTCATTAATTTTCAAATCAAAATTTCGAGCCATATTTGTGTCGAAACAGTGAAATTTTTTATTAACTTTCGGTCGCTGTGTTTGTGCTTTCTCGTCGAATTTACTTCTCTTTGTGGACTAATCTTCTTTTGACAAAGGTAAGGGAACGGTCGTGGAGGGGAAAGAGAAAATTCCATGGGAATGGGCACGTAAATAATGCAGAGAAGAAATTTTGTTGACAGTATTGAGCAACCAGTGAGTTTATAGTGAGTCGGTTGCTAATCTCTCTGCTTTAGCGAGAAAAATAGGTCAGTCTTATAGCTTTGATGCACCAGTAGCAGTTCCAAAGTTGAAGAGCTTAAAATAATTTCTTGGACAAGGAGAAGCTTCTGTGAGACGTTTCTGTTCCTTAATGAATATTCCCCAACCACCAAAACCTTCTGCTTATTCAGCTTGTAATGATACCTTATTGAAAGCAGCCAAGACTGTAACTACTGATTTGATGGGGAATGCTGGTCAGGAGTTACACCATGACAATAACAGTGATGACGAAGTTCTCCATCGCGGTGTTTACTGTGACGGAACTTGGCAAAGGCGGGGATATTCGTCATTAAATGGTCAAGTTACTACCATTTCAACGGAAACGGGTAAATGCCTTGATGTCGAGATTTTGTGTAACGTATGTCATACCTGCCAAAGGATTGATAGAGAGACAGATGATGAAAAAAGGCATTGCGTAAAGCTGACCATATAGGAAAATACAAGGCAAACTATGCAGGTTCAGCACCGTCAATGGAGACCAAGGGAGCGAATCTTTAAATGTAGTGAAGCAACATATGAGTAATCATGCTTTGAATAGGGATGATGGTGTCTATTTGCCAGAGGAATACATGCATCTTATTGGCAGGTAACTTCATCCCTTGGGTATTTAAGAAGCCCCGATTGCAACTTCAGATCACCCCCTGATGAAGACACTAGACTGAAGTGTCGAAACGTTGGGTCTTGATTACAATTAGACCGGGCTTTCTAGTAATTTATTTAAACCAGAGTGGGCGAGTAGCGAGCGAAACGTGATTGATATACCTGGTTGCAGTGAACCAACAAACTTTAAACATATATAATGGTTTTGTCAGTAAGGCGAGTGTTTCTGCATGCGTGTACTTTCTAGTAAAAACTGTACTTTTACAATCCCGTATATATTATGCCGCAGAAGATAATAGAACTCATTAGAAATACGCCATGGCGCTGCAATAAAGACATTTAAAGTAGCAACCCCAGCAATCCCCCCTCAATTCGCTCTGTAGACTTATGCCCGTATTCTAAAAGCTCACTCACACTTACACACAATGAGTGTAGGTTCAATATGGGCTTCTCTTGAGTCCCATTGTTGTTTTTGAATAGCTAGAGGGCCAGTGTAATACCTTACCATGTGACTACTCACCCTCCAGCTATTCAAAAACAGCATTGACACTTAAGAGAAGCTCTTATTGAACCTCCACTCATTGAGTGTGAGTGTGAGTGAGCTTTTAGAGTACGGGCGTTATTAACCATTCTATTGACGCTATAGCATATTTCCTTCAGTGTGGAAATATGCAAAAATCACTCCAATATACAAAGGCCATGGTGGTAAAGAGAACGAGGGTAATTATCGACCTCCAATTAATAACATGTGTACGTTTTTATTTCAACTGCGTACGATTTAAATATGATATCGTGCTTTTCAATACATGAAGCACTCCAGAATTATTTCGCTGAATCGCCGCCTTATGTCAAATAAGTGACCACGAATTTTCCACGCGCACGACGCGAGAATGATGTCTGACTAAATCAACTTCAAATTCAACTAATGACTGTAGGGAACCTCCATAACGCTGAACGCAAATCATTGACAATAAAATACAATATTATATCGTTGCATGTAATTTACCGTATATCTGTAATTAGCTAGCTGCAAGTAATAATAAAAAAATTTCGACAACATAATATCGCATCAGCCCACCCTTACCCCGGCCCTTCATTGAATGTTGATGTGGGTTAGTGCAGGTTCGTTACTGACTACGCGGCCGTTTGTACGCCTATGTATATCTTGCTTTATAAGTTTATATATGCGGGTTGGACATCATAAGCTAACCTTGTAAATGAGTGCCGTTTCCTATGCAACCACAATTAGGCTTACAAGCACCATTGAATGATCCTTTCTTCGAGTATTTTTACATTTATTATATTTATTATGGTGGACTGAAGTGGTAAGAGAGGAATCCAGCCCCTCCTTCTCGTAACTCATGCATGGCTTTCGGTAGAATAAGTGCACCTGAGGGTAATTTGCTAGCTGTACATTTAAATAATTAATATGACGTACTATACCATATGTAGAAATTGGTCTGCATGCATGAATTCATTGACGTACAAGATGGACTTCACAGATTGTAAAATTTAGCTAAAGCCAGAATAGCAGGATTTAAGAAAAAGAAATAAACATGTGAACCTAAAATATGTAGTTATTATTTCATGCAACATTATTGCTTTTACTGACATGGTATAAGCGATGCCGACAAAGGAAAAAGTTGCTTCACGAGACGCACCGTTACTCGTTTAGTTTTCCCTTAATTAGTGTTTTATTAGTTTTAATCAGTTTCACTCCAATATTTTAGTCGTTCCTATCCAATTCATTTTTTGTCGACGAGGAAAATGATTTATAACTATACGATACAATAATTTGATGACTAGCTGACGACTGGGAGGATATATAGCAGGCCCCTGGCATCAGGAACACTGTTAAGCTATTTTGGTCCATTGATTCGAATGTTTTTGAGTTTTTGATGTCTATCAAACAGGATGACCTTTTTGGTGGCCAGAACTTGACATAGACTTTAAATTTAAATTGCACGATTTTGCTACTAATTTTACAGGGCTATTGTCATTCCTTCTCCTCTCCATAGTCAGGCTTGATCATTTAAAATCACAAGACATTTATTCAGAGTTTATTAAAACTCTTTGCGCCTTGGCTCTAATAATGTCATAACTAAGGGGAAAAAAGGTGCCTATAGATAGGATTGCTTTGCAAATTTGAGCTTTTCTCACCTATAGTGATCACCGCATACTATAATTCCCTGATTAATTAATATTTAAAATATTAGTTTTAGATTGGAAGATTAAATTAATTAGTTTTAGATTAAAAGATAATAATTATAAAAGGTCATATTAGCTATAATGATTAGACGTGAAGTTGTAATTATTAGGTGAGGGGGAAGATTGGGACAAGAAGAAACGTTCCATGGTATGATAAAATTATTTTACCACCCGAAAGTTAGGACCCCCGCAAGTAACGGACCCCGAAATTGGCTAATTTTGAATTTGTGACAGCTTAATCATGCGACATAGGAAAATCTACTTTGTTATGGTTATCAAACATATGGTTACGAAATAAGTTCTGCAAAACAATATTAGTAATCTAGTTTAACAATATCACGAATGATAATTCCGCCAAGTCCGAGGTAAGGCCGGACTGTTAATGTGGATTCAAAACGGAACAAAACATGTGTTGTATATGTATTGCTTTATGCATGCTTGCATAGACGTCATGAGATATATGCACTAGTTCTAGTAAAACTAACCTTGACATTCACTCATGTTGATTTTGTGGCCGGGAGGACAGATACATCGGAATGAACCATCCGTATTTTTACATACAGAATTATTGGGCACATTACATTGTATTCCTTCTTTACATTCATCAATATCTGAAAATATCGTTTAACGATATCATGAGCTACACTAAATTGCAAATTATGTTTTCAAATAAACATATAACTTATTGCATCCTCTTTGGACAATTCATTGGTTTTATCGCTTATAGATCATGACCAGTTTTAGAATTGGAATATAAAGAAAGCTCTGTACAAAGACTCATAGCATCAATTCTAGATGGAATTACGATAATTAACTAATTTGCTTTATTATTTGACAATGGCGCGTAATTTTACCAAATAAAGCCATGCGGACACGAAAATCTGTAAGCGGATTTCACTCTTAAAACCCGTAATGTGTTCGTCTAAACCGCGGCTTCTTCTGGTTTTAGGGAAAAACAAAAGTCCAACATTTTCGAATGAAAAACACACTGCATGTGGAAAATCAGTAAGGCAGGCCGAGGGAAATAACTATGAAACAAACTTTTTCCCAGGGCCTTTTTAACATACAAGCTGGGGGGGGGGGGATTTGCCCCCCAGTCCCCTCTTGTGCCCCCCCACGAAATCACATTTTGCCCCCCCCCCCAGGAAAAGTCCCTTTTCCCTAAAATTATACAAACAAACCAGCGAAGATTAACAAATACATAAACGGAAAGCACGTTTTAGGCTTTATCCTTTGTCCTTGTTTAACAAAATCGATTTAAATTGTTACTTTTTTCTACCACTAAGTAATGATAAATTATTGTTAATAATTTTTTATTTTTTGGATGCTCAGAATGCAGGAAATAGCATTTCCGGGTTTCAAATTACAAAAATTTTCTGGGAATTATCCCTCTAATCAGTAATGATAAATTACGGTTAATATTCTTTTTTACTTTTTGTGCATTTTCCCTTCTTTTATTTCAAATACAAGTATAGTTAGCATAAATTTTAGAGCAAATTTGGATGCTCAGAATGGAGGAAATGGCATTTCCGTGCTTCAAATTTCAAAAATTTTTTTGGGGAGTACACTCCCACACACATGACCATTGCTATCCTCCTCTAATAAGTAATGATAAACGATGGTTAATTATTTTCACTTTTTGTGTGTGTGTTTTCCTTTATTTCTTTCAAATACAAGTATAGTTAGCATTAATTTTGGAGCAACTTTGGATGCTCAGAATGCAGGAAATGACATTTCCGAGATTCAAAGTTCAGAAATTGTCTGGGGGAGTACACCCCCCCCCCCCGATTCATGCTTGGTATATTGGCCACACATGTGGCCTTCAGCCATTGCTATCCCCCTCTAATATATTACCTCACAGAAAGGTCCCTTTTCAAAAAATGCCCCCCCCCCCCACGGGAAAATCCTTAAAAAAGGCCCTGTTTTTTCCTGACACGAACATAAACTTACAAACACTTGAATAGTGATAGAATAACGCTCAAAAAATGCGAAGAGCTGAAAAATATGTTCTTTAGGTACGCTTTCTTTAACTTAATTCTCTTTTTATCACATTTCAATCGGCATATTTCATATAATGCACTCAAAACAGCTTTCTTTCTTGAGGCAGATAAAAATTTAGTTGGTTGAGATACTTGGTTGACATGTTTCGTTCATTTTTGATGTTTTATTAAATCGAATTGAAGAATGATGATGTCAGTATTAAGTTGTTCCTTATTTGGTATGCAAATTCCAAATTGTTTTCGTTGTATCTGATCATTTGCCGTTTACAGCACTAATTGCATGCACATTCTTTAAAACAGACAGGGAAATCTAGTTTTTTAAGGTTTCCTATAATTATAATAAATATCCCATTGAATGGTTTAACATATAATCCTGCGGAGCAGTTTACTCATTTCTGGCGAGAAACGTCCGAAAATACGTCCAGATATGGTGAAAAACCCAGACGGATTATCTATCAAACCACTCATTCACAATCAAATATATGAAATTGTGCGTTATTGCAATCATTTATCATATTTCCAATTCCGCGCTGATCATGATGAGATATATGCAGGTTTCTGTATAAACTGACCTTGACAATGAGTGCCGTTTCCAGTGTAGCCAGATTTACAAGCACAATTGAATGAACCTTCAGTATTGGCACATATGGAGTTGGCATGGCAACGTGCACATTCATCAATATCTGAAACGGTTTTTTTTTACTAAATTGTAAACTTCAGTAATAATAAAATTAATTTTCAAAAAAAGTCTAGTAAAGTATAATTTGTATTGTAGTGAAAAGAAATATAATAAAATATTCATCTTTCTAAAGTACTTGAAAGCCAGTTACAACGAAATTGAACACAAAACTACTTTAGATAAAATGTAAAGTGTGTAAATTTTAGCCTCACAGCTGTGGAGAAAGTGTATACTGTCTCAGCCTAACTGGTCCATATAATATTTTGTCCATCACGATTATATTGTTCCTAGAAAAAATCGTTAGGTAAAGCCTGGTTTCCATTATGGTTGCAATGACGCGAGTCGTGAATGTGTCGTGAAGTCTTTGTCGTGAACTATTTTTATGCTTGTTTCCATATGGTGCAACTGTCGCTACACTGTCGTGGATTGTCGCAAGATAATTTTTTATCCCGGGATCGTACAAGCAGCTGGCGACAGTTTAAAACGAGGAACTATGTCCCCCCTGATCGTTGCAAAACTGTTGCCACGCTGTCGTTTTTCTGTTTCCATTTAAAAATAACCGAAACGACAGGTGTTTAGCCTGTCGCAACTGTCGTCGAGATAGAACTCGAGTCTATCTTGACGCCGCCGTTGTAACTGATCATGAGCTGGCGTTAACATGTTGCAACAAGACATTTCTTCATGTTTCCATTTGGTTGCAAACATTACTCTGGCAACTGTTACAACACGTTTGCGACAGTTACGACCATATAGAAACGAGGCATAACGATATTTTGCACGATAAGTCCTCCCAACTTGTGACAAGGGTAGACAAGGTAAAGGACACCAGTCAAACATTCGTTGTAGATATTTTACTTTATCTCAAAATAGCACGAGTCCGAAGGACGAGTGCTATTTGAAGTCTTTGAACAACTCACGAGTGCATATTTATCCAAATTTCACGAGAAACCATGCTATTACAACATAAAAATGTTCGAGACAATTGTAGTTTTAACTTATGCGTTTATAGCGAACATTCCACTGGCAAAGTTTTCCTGGCTTTGTTTATCACATTATACAACGCTAACAGCTTGAAAATTCCACTAAACTATGTAATTGTTGTTAGTCTTATTTAAGGTAAATGCTTTTCCATATAAAAATAAAGATAAAAGCCATATTTTCCACGCGAATGCAACTTTTACTTTGTGTAGCGCGTCGCCATGTTTGTTTTTGTTTTGAAGCAATCTGTGACCGTTACTTCTTTAAACTAAATTGCTTTAAACTGATTGGTTGATTTAATCATCACAATGTTTTTCCACCAATCATGCAGATCAGTTTGTTACAGATTTTTGCACTGTGATTACAGATAATTGCACCATGATTACAAAAAATTGCACTGTGATTACAGAAAATTGCACTGTGGTTACAGAAAATTGCACTGCTGCTTGGGATAAACTGCACTGAAATCAACCAATCACAGTCGAGTAATATCTTTATGTATATTATTATCATGGTAATTGCATGTGAGTACTGAGTAATCAAAGAAATTTTCGTGTACGTTTATCAAAGAAATTCTTGGTAGCACCATTTTCATTACCTTGAGCAGGATTAGATTTGCCAAGCTGACTGCTGAAGTCAGAGTATTAAAATTGGGCTGGTTATACGATGACAAAATTTATAGTGTTGCGGAAGGGTCGGTGCTTGTATTCATTGGAATTTCAAAACGATTGGCAAGATCTTCGATGTTACTATCATGAATTATTTATATGTTGAATAATTAGAAGGCTATTTGTTTGAAAAATGTTCTAATTATTCATTAATTGTGCATATTAACTTTCGCAGGCATTTTAAAATTATATTTATTCCACCTACCTCGACAGGTGTAACCATTTTCAGTAAATCCATCATTGTAAATACATCTAAATGAACCATCTGTGTTCTCACATGTAGCAAACGTAGTGTTACAGTTATGAGTACCATGAATACATTCATCAATGTCTGGAACCATAAAATATTTTACATAAAACATACAGTTAATAATGCTGAAGTCATTTATGTTATATACTAAGAAATACTTGAATGAGTTTGTCTGGAGTTTTTGTTCTTTTCAATATTATTCCAAATGGCAGTAATATTTAGAGTTTTAAGGTTAAATTATAACTGGAAAGACTAAAGAGTATATAATATGGCATTGGCAGTAATTCGGGCTATTCGCATGACTCTGCTTTGCTCCAAGGTAGCCCATAAATCAGGTTTAATAAATTATTTTCTATTGAATAACATACATCAACTATTACTACTACTCGGTCTTCGATCAACTGCACTGTTCAGGTGCAGTCAGCATTGTGACGTGGGATTATGTACATTTGATAAGGCTGGCAGCTAAATTCTAAAATACGCACTTATAGCACCGGAGGAATAACACAAGAAACCAATATAAATGTAAGCTTAGCCTGCTCACAGGCTCTATATATAGAGCCTGCGACTTTTATTGATATTTTTTCAATACGCCCCCTTTGAGATAATTGAATATCCGGTAAATAGTAGCCAATCAAAGTAAGTTTTGTTATTAGATTACCAGAGGTTTTATTAACAACAAGAAGCAGTTTCTCGCGCAATTTTAGTTACGCCTGTATCTTTCACTAGGATTCCAAGGTTAAACTTTACTCTGAAATAATGCATGGTCGTTTTTTTCCTAAAGTGTTCTAATATTTAAAACATAGTCCCGTTTGTATATTGCTGTCTTGTTCGTACATTGCCGTTTTAAATTATGTAACTATACTACAGAGACGTAAAATTTTATTCTCTATTAGTTAATGTATTTTATACATTTATATCCAAAATATAACTGTAAGATTTAAGGAAACATATTTAGGTTTTGAACAAACACTATTTATTAAAGTATCGAACAATAGCAGGCTAAAAAACAACATTGCGTGAAGTCTGTCAATTTGCTCAATAATACAATTAACTCAATAGACAATAGGCAATTTGAAAACCCGTGGCCGTGGCATCGGATTCTGCCGTGTTTAATAACTACATTTTTTTGTAAAAAGCTCTTGTTGTAATAATATATGTCACTAGTTGAGACTCCCAAAAAGAAAGTCTCAAAGAGAGAGCGGACTTCGGTCAAAGAACATGCAAACGACTATTGCAAAATTTGCAGGTGTAAATTCAAATTGGCCAGGTGTTCTAAGAACGACTTTCCTCGACGGCGTCTGTTTTAATAATTTGCCCATTGTCTTGGCTTATACAAGACCAGATTGTTGAGGCAGAAAGCCTTGGGTTGACAGGGAAGTACTTGGGAGAAATATTCGGAGGCATTTGACAATCAACTGCTCTCAACGAACGTCTCGCTGGGCTAAGTTGTTCAACGTTGTTAATAATTTAATATTTTGAAAACACACCAAAGGCAAAGTCTCGAAGATTTCTGCCGCAAGTGATGCAAACGCGGTTAGATAAATTGTCTGCCTGAACTAGACTTATTTTACTTTCTCTACAAAAATCAGCAAGGCATACGTCGAAGTTTTCCCTTGTACTTCTTTGGAAAAGGTTTATAGCTGACGAAGACAAAGTATTGGACTTGGTATATTAAACTTTTATCAAATCCCGTTGGAAGTACAGTTAATATTGCTAACCTTTGCTCATCATCCTTCAACGTTAATTTAAATTGAAAGTTTTTCAAATACATTCAGTTACTTCTTCGAAGAGATAAACAAAGTTATGGTTTTATACGCCACTGATTGAATGCCAGCTTTAAAATTTAATACATTGCGAAATGTCGTACGAGTTAAATATTTGCACGATATTAACTCATGGGGCACTTCTGACCAATGGGAATTTTGCGTACGGAGCGTACGCATAAATCGACTTTTTACTAATAAAGGTCGCAGGCCGTTCCTAGCTCCCAGCCTCTGCCTGATAACGGCCTGTAACGGCCATGATAACGGCCATGTAAGCTCGGATACATTTATTAAACTGCCAGTCAATTTTTTTGTGGAAAACAACATCACTGAAAATAACGAGAAATAAGCAAAGATTTATTTATTTAATCAATTTTGGCGCCAAGAACTGAAGAAATCCGGATGTTTTTCAGAGCGATGGGAGTGAGAAGCACCGGATAGCTAGCAACCAGTCACACATTATTGACCGGTCATAAAATATGTGTTCTGAGGTGGCGGAGGGTATTCGAAAATTCTACCATAAAATTCGGCACCCCCCAAAATCGTCGGAAAATATTTAATACCCCCCTCAAAGGAGACGAAATGTTTCGTCCCCCCCCCCTTCGCACCCAACCAATCACCCTCTCCCCAAAAACATAAAATTCTAAGAACATAACTGTTTTGCAAATTAATGCAATCCATTTTCTGTAGTGAAATATTTAGCGTAGTTAATAAATAGAGAGTGTTGAACATGATTTATAAAATAACATGTATATAACGCATGCTCTGATTGGTCGAAACCCGTGTTTGGATCAGGCCATCCAAACACCATTTATGGTTTCCGTGTTGCAAATTTCTCCTGCTGCATTTTGATTGGATACTATAAATATAAACTTTGCTGTGGGTAGAAAGCGATCGGATTAAGGTTTGTGTCAGGCTACAGTATATTTCTAAAATAGAGCCTTGATCTCAGGTTAGGATCTGACACGTTTGTAGACTTTGGTTATATGTCGTGACGTATTTCATATCTTTCTCAATATTTAAATCATTCTAAAAGTAAACGAGCAGGGGAGCCACCCGACGGTAAACGAACGTAATCAAAGACTGTTCAAGTCGCAGACATGTCAAACTAATAGGTTCCGATCGAAGCACTTTCATAAATACTACTGTGCTACATTGCAATATACGGCTAGGAACATACACTCGATTTTTTTAAAAGTATATTACATTATAAAAATATGTTGTTTTATTAACAAAGTATGTTGTATTATAAAAGTATGTAGTTTTAGTATTCCACTCATTTTCTGTTTCGTATACCCCCTACAAATGTCGTAATTCGTCTCATACCCCCAAATGTTAGATAATTTGTTTCTTACCCCCCCCCCAACTTACCCTCCACCACCCCACCCCCCAGTACACATACTTTATGACCGGTCCCTTACCACCCTAGTTTTATGGAAATTGAGCACTAATAAGCAAACAGATATTTGTTTACCATCATCATCAGTAATGATAACTGTAGCATGGGCTAGAGATAATTGATCATTGGTATCATCTGCCGTGAAAACAACGATAAAAGTACGGAATTCCTCAGAATTACCATCATCCGGTAAGTTTATAGTATAGCACACTGGTCCTGAGGAATAATATAAATTCTGCGGTAAACGGCTGGAACGAAATGTTTCTCAATATTGCAAACCGACATGCTCCATTAAAACAAACTCGCGTCAAAGGAATACAAATTCCGTGGATGACTTCAAACTTAAACCAAGCTATGCGCGATAGAGATTACCATCACCGGAAAGCAATTAAATCGCAGTCCTCTTACCACTGGGAAATGTATAGAAAGTTGAAAGTCTATGTCAACAAACAAGTCAAAAAGTGTAAGTCGGACTATTATATTAATATCATCCAAGAAAACAAAAGTCATTCTGAACGTTTATGGAAAACTATAGATGAAATTACTGCTCGTAAGAACGTTTCAAGACCCACTTGTGTTATTTCCGAGGGCGGTGTAGTTAAAACTGATTCAAAATCAATCGCCGAAGCTTTCAACCTACACTTTACTACGATTGGTTTCAAATTGAGAAAGTTGTTGAAAACTATAATAGCACACTATTTTACTTTCCATACTCAGCCAGCTGGTGAAAATCCCGACATTGCCTGTTTTGCCTTTCAAACAATTGACCAGGATTATGTATTAAAACAACTGAATACATTAAAAACTAACAAGGCTATTGGATTAGATCATATTAGTGGAAGGCTACTTAAGGATGCATCTGCAATTATATCCAATTCTTTAGCGCAGTTATTTAATCAATCTCTACTATCAGGATCATTTCCATATGTTTGGAAAATGGGAAAAGTCACTGCGTTGTTTAAGAGTGGGAACCGTAATGACACAAATAATTATCGACCAATTACTGTACTGCCCATAATTAGTAAGATTCACGTGAAAGCAGTGTATGGTCAAATTTATAGATATCTAAACGAGCATAAATTATTAACTTCAAAGCAGTTTGGATTTCGGGAAAAACTATCCACTACTCAGGGTTGCACTGACACACTTCACAGTTACCATCATGAAAAACACGGACGATAGTAAAATTACTGGTGTAGTTTTTGTAGATCTATCTAAAGCGTTCGATACCGTAGATCATAATTTACTTCTGGGAAAACTGAAGTCATTTGGCTTCTCAGATCACGTTACTGGTTGTATTAGGTCTTATCTTTCTGATAGATCTCAAGTAACACGTGTGGATAATAAATATTCATCCTCCAAGCATATATCAATCGGCGTGCTCCAGGGTAGCGTGCTTGGTCCACTACTGTTTAATATATATGTGAACGATCTTCCAAAATGCCTGGAAATATGTGAGATAATTATGTACGCTGATTATACTGTCCTCTACTATTCCTCAGCCTCGGCAATGGATATCGAGCAGCATCTTAATAAAAGTTGTTGATTGGTTTAATATTAACCTCCTAACCTTGAACAATAAGAAGACCAATTTTATGCTTATTTGTGGTTCTCAAAAATTAAAATCTTGTACTGATGTTTCTGTCAACGTAGAAAATGTAACTCTTGATAGAGTGGACTGTATTAAGTATTTAGGAGTAACTATCAATCAGAATATGACCTGGACGGATCATGTGGATACTATTGTAGCTAAATCAATGCAACGTATCGGCTTATTCAAGCGCATAAAATATTTGTTACCACATCAAGCTAGAATAACATTGTACAATGCCTTGATTTTGCCTGTTCTAGATTATGCGAATATAGTGTGGGGTGATAAGAACATTACTGTACTTATGAACACGTGCCAGGTTATTCACAACAAAG